CGCCCCCCTTCCCCATTTTCCAGCATGGAAAAGTACTTATTTTCTGAAATTTTTAGCTCAGTTTCAGTTTCTCAAATCTGAAACAATACACCTGTAAAGGCTGATTTGAAATCAAGCAGGGAGAACTTTTAAGGCTACTAACCCGTTTTTCAGCTTCCACTATCACAGCATCTTTGTTTTCTTCTGACACGATAACACATGTACTGAAGGATGACTTGAGCATGTTAATCACCAGGTCATTGGAAAGGATGTCCAACTTCTTTACCTGATCTCCTGTCACATTGGTAGACCCAGCAATTCCATAGCTAAAGCAATGGCAAGAGAGAGCATTTTGTGAGAACGGGGCACTACATCTTCCAAAGCACCCTGTTTGTGGCAACCTTACGCTTGTGAAGTGTCTTGTAAAACAAATAGCACTTTTGGATGATATGTCAGTTCTCTAAGCCTGTTTTTTACTTACTGTCCGGTGGATTCTTGCTGAGACCTGCTAACATTAGCTGTGGTGGCAAATCTAGAAGACACTAAACAGTGAGGAACACAAAACAAGGAATCACCTTTCAATAGCCTGTAAACTATAGGCAAACATAGCCAGAGCAGGCTGTGAAGGCTTAATTACAATAATTATGTTGTTTAATGAGCTCTTAACTTTAAGACCTAAATATTGCCCCTGAATCCTAGCCTCCAATAATATAGCTGCATAGCCTAAAAGCTAAGACTTATTAGAAAACTTAGACTTAAAAAGTTAACAATGAATCTGACGATACTAGTTACACCATAACTTCTGTATGTAATTTGCTCCTGGCTAGCAATATGATCTACAAATAGCAGTAGAAACACTTTGCTCACAGATAAATCAACACTTTTATGGTTCAATGTTTTCAGTTTTGATTTTAAGTAGTAAACATTTCATTGGGAATAAAACTGAGAAATACAAATACGAAACACAAATAAAACTCTGCGAGCTAATCAGAATCAAACCATCTGGCATCAGGAAGTACCGGGAGACCTTGTGATAGGTGATTTCGAAAGTATGCAAAACAGACAGAGGGGAAGTTCAGCCCTTAGAGGAGAAAAACAATAGCCAGCTCTGCACACATTCTGATGACTCTTACGTACTTCAGCTACGATTCATTGATTAGGCTGAATACTGGTATTTCAGGTTTTTTGTAATAATGCTGAACACACTACTTTAGGAATGTACCACATTTCTTCAGTGTAATGCATGAGACAAAGAAAAAGACCTGGCATAATTCTCTTTATTTCTCTCTCTACTACACTGGCTTGAACATTCTTCTGCAAGTGTGAAAGTGCTTTTAGAAAACAATGTACTTTGAACACCACGCTTGCAAGCAGAGACACAAGTCCTCATCCTCAGAGCAAAAACTCCATACAGCCAGCAGCTACAGCTCTCACACATTGTCTGTCGGGGACTCCTGGGAGGGGATGGCAGGGTGTCCTGCGAGGAGCCTGCAGCTGGGAAGGGACTGTGGCTTCCCCAGCTGTTCTGCACCTCTGCTGCATCTCAGCTGTCAACAGACACGCATGTAGGACAGACAAGGAATGGGACCTTAGACTGTCATAAATCAGGTCACAGATGGGAAACATTGGTCTTTACTGATAGACATAGGAGGCAAATAAAAGGGCTAGCACACAGTGATTAAAAAACTGCCACAGTTATATCAAGTCTAAAGTCAAAACAGAGAAAAATAGTTCAATCATACATAAAGTGGAGGATTTTCATTCTCTCTTGCAGTTGCTTCTATTTCATTAACTTCTGTCACCCAAATTTTTCAGCTCTTTGATACATTTTGTAATAAATGTTACTCTGTATTGCCAGAGGCCTTTTGCTTATTATTTTTTCCACTACATGGTTTGTAGCGGCAAGTTAATTTTCTCTCTACTACATTTTCCATTCAGTGATGAAGCAGCCCATGTCTAAAGCCCTGATCAGCGTACAATTTGGCTTATCAACAATATGTAAAATTCTTAGGGGATTAGTTACCTACAACCAGTTTCAGTTATTTAACACTTCACGAGCTCTAATTTCCTTCTGACGCATGTCCAGAGCAACTCCCCTCCGGCTGACTACAGACACTACTGTTCCTCACCAGTGCTCTTTCTAAAAGCTTTAGACATCCAAAGCTTCATAGAGGAGCTCCAGCTGCTATGATGCCATATGAAAAAACCCCACTGAATTTGATTAAATGCCTCATAGCATAAAAAGGTGCTTTGATACTAAGCTACTGACTACAATGAGCAATAATCCAGCCGTATTTTAACAGGCTTTGTCTTTCGGTCTGTTCGTTTGGTCTTCTGGTTCAAAGCACCCAAACCTGCTGAAAGCTTGCATGACGGTCTATCAGCAGCAGACATCTGTCAAAGACTGCATGCCTCGTATTATGGAAAAGTCAGGGGACCCATTCCACTTGAGAAAATCAGAAGTCCAAGACGCTAAAGGAGTTACTGACGGCTCCGCGCGAGGGGGGCTGGGGGGGGGGACGCAACCCCCCTCACACGCCTTTCGGGTGACGCTCCCCATCCCCACCACTCCGGAGGGGGCAGGACCCCCCGGGCCGGCGGGGATGCGGGGAGGTGCGGCATGCTACCGGCGCTCCCACCACCCCCCCGCCCCCCCTTCCCGGGCATCCCGGGACTCACAGGTTGGCGATGCCCGCTTTACGGACGGCGGTGGAGATGGCTTTGATGGCCGTGCAGAGGGAATTGAGGAGCTGCGTGAACTCCCCGGTGCCTTTCGCCCGCCTGCCTTCCTCCATCACGAAGCGGGTCATGGTGATGACATTGGTGTCGAAGGCGGAGCGGTCCGTTGTGGTGGGGGGGGGGGGGGGGGGGGCCCCCACCCGTCCCCGCCGCCGCTAGCTTCGGTGGGGCG